ACTTGGTTGCTGGTGACAGAATTTAGGTTCGCATGCTTGTGCAGTCACTCTTTTATCAATTGAGTCATCTCCCTGGTTTCCTATGACTATTAACCTTTAAGTCCTACGATCCTTCAGGGTTTCATATAGGTGTTACTCATGTCATATGCCAAGCAGAGCTTGACTGGACAAACTGGATTGCTTTCCAGAGGGCCTTTCGTGCTTGTCCAACAGCCTATTCCCACAGCGGTAGTTCTAGAGTAAGTCTTTTTTTTCTACCTTGCAAAATAGTAGCTAACTTGGGGCAAGAGAGATGGTTCAGTGGTTAAGAATGCTTGGTGCTCTTCCATAGGACTGGGCTTTAGTTCCTAACACCTACATGGTAGCTCATAAGCATATGTAACTCCAGTTCCAGGGCTTCCAATCCCTCTTCTAGCTTATCTGTATGGACCACATATGCACGCATACATACACACACACACACACACACACACACACACACACACACACACACAAACACAGACAGACACACTCACACAGGCACACACACACACACACACACACAAACACAGACAGACACACTCACACAGGCACACACACTCACAGATATATATATATAAAGGTAAAAAAATTAAAGAAATGAAAGAAAATGTATACTCTATGGCAAGAAGAAAGAGGTACTATTGAAAATTCATTACTTTGTTCCATATGGAATTTATTCCATATCTTTATATGGGTGACAACATTAAATTAAAAAACTGATACATTGCTTAAATTATTCAAGTGTTAAGAATGGAGCTACTTCTTCACATTAAATGTTTATTTTTTCTTTTAAAATTGGAGATCCCTGCTTTAGCTTCCTAATAGTTGTACTCTGAATCTTCAATTCAGTCCCCACATTAGTGGAGGCCATCACCCAGGAGAACCTATCACTGACATGCAAAAACACTGTTGAGAAACTGTCACAGCCCTTCAATGGAGAAAGAGTTCTTGATTCTTGCCATTTCCAGAGGAGAAAAAGGCCTGTATGCTTTCCAAAGAGAAATTAACACACACACACACACACACACACACACACACACACACACACGGGGGGGGGTGGGAAGGGAAGGGGAGAGGGAGGAATGCAAACATCGATGGATGATGGGCCATAGCCATATTTACTACTTGCTGGCTACTAACAGAACTTGGCAAACCGATGTTGACTACTACGCGAACTGAGTCTAAGTTCTTTAACACTCTGCCCCTTGGCTTTTCCTTTCTACCTTGCATGTATATACCACTGCTCAGATGGCAGCTGAGAGTGAGTTACTAACTTGGGCTAAGATAAAAGATGAGACGACTATATTTAGAATCAAATCTACCTTTCCTTCCAAAATAGCTACATTATGGCTACAGAGGCATAGCTTTGATCTTAGCCCTCAGAGTTAAGGCAAGGGGACATGGGCAACAAGTGTAGACTCTGACTCAGGAAAACAAAATGAATGAATGAATAGATAAAGCAGGCTTGCTTAACTGGAATATCAGAAGGTTACATAAAGTGATGCCAGAATTTGACAAACTAATAACACTTGTTTCTAGAAGCTTTCAACTGTTTGTGAAACTGCACGAGGGACTTACTGTGGCACTGACAAGGCAATGGTTATCTTGAGTTCTAGATCCCGGTTCCTGAGTACTGTTGGGCCCCAGCCCCACGAGGTCTCTGTGAGTTGCTGGTCAGCCTACAAGTGCAACTTGTTTTGCAGTCCAAGTGCTTTCTGTTTTCTAGTCCTGGCTTACTGGCCCGGCCTTGACCCTCTGACATCAACATTCAGCAGGAGGAAAACAACGATCTCTTCTACCTGGGGTTTTTCCACTGTGCTGTAAACCTGTATATAAAGCTCCTCCCTCTTACAAGAGGGAGACCTCTTAGCACTTGCAATGAAGATACACACATACACACTCTCCTGGCAATAAAGGCAACACATGCATTCTCTTAGTACAAACAGTTTGTATGTCTGGTCTCTCTTTTCCTGATACCTTGGACTTGCTTGTGAAAGCCAGGCACCACAGAGTACCAGAGTGTAGAGTTTTGTAACTCTCCCACTGTTAATGTGATGGTTTTATGGGGACAGGATACTCCAAGATTTTAGCTATAAAACGGAAAGAAACAGTCTTAGTCTGTCTAAGGTAAAATTCACACTTACCAGGCTAACACTTGAGTGCATCCTTGACCTACTTTTAGGCAAAGAGTATTAGAACTGAGGACACAGAGGAGTTCAAAACAAGTGTACGAACAGCTAGGGAACTGTTACCTTCTGAAACACTAATGCTCTACTGGATCCTGCCTTTTTATCTTCTTCTCTCTTAAGATAGGTATTTTTAAGTTTCCATTTTGACCTTTGGTATTAAGTTGGAAATAAGTTCTGTCTCTCTCTCCTCTAGAAACTATGGTGCATACCTAGTCATCGTAGACCCTGAACATGGTGTCAGTGTGGGGAATTAGGTGTAATTTGGGGACTTATGTCTTCAAGATCACATACTGAATTTGTTAGCAGTCTCATGCTAAGCACATACCAATGTGCAGGCACACCACTGGTGTGAACTTTTCTACACAGGAGACCTCTTCTCATTCTATAAGCAACTCCACAGCTTAATAGTTTTTAGACTGGCTATTTGGTTGAGAGTCTTGTCTGTTTCATTAGCTGACGCCTTCAAATCCAATTGTAAACACCAAGGGGCAAACATATGTTTTTTTCTACTTCTAACTAATACAAAGTCTGTCCAAAATTTTCAGTGAAAGTTTGTGAAATGTTGCCAGTCAACTGAATTTTTACCAAGAATAAAGATATATTAACAACAGGTTTTCAAAACAATGGAAACCTGGTAAGTATATTGAAACCTCAGATTCTAAGTCAGAAGCTATAGGGTAAAACCCATGATCGATCTGCATTTGCAATAGTCAATGTTCCCAGGAGCACAGGTTTAGCTTTATCCTCAGGGTCTTACATTTATGAGATGATGCCCCTTAGCAATTAACTGATGTTATGAATTTGAGTCATGGATATGAGATCAAATTTTAGTACTTGTGTTTACTAGATAAATAGAAGCATTACTGAATCTATGTCTTAAATTTCTAAACACACACACACACACACACGTTTTTAGGCATGTGTCTGGGTTTCTACACATGCATACACACACATGCATGTGTTTCTATGAGTATGTACGGGTATGAGTATGCAGTTTCTCATACCCATGTCTTTGATTACAGCAGAGGGGTATATTGGATGTCCTGTTCTCTCGTCCTCTACCTTACTTCCTTCAACCTAGAGGTAGGTCTGCAACCTGGAGGCTCCAGCAATTCTGAGTCTTCCTAGGGCTAGGTTACAGGTGTGCATACAACCACCCCTGGCTTTGTATGTGAGTTCTGGGGGTTAAACTTCTAACCTCCTGCAAAAAAACTAGGAGGTGTAGGAAGTCTGGAGCGGGGAGGGGGCTTTGTAAGGAAACAAATATAAAGGAAAAATAATGAAAATGTAGAGTTTGCTTCTAGAAAAATTTGCTTCAAGGCAAGGAAAAAAAGAAAAGGGAACAAGAAAACACACAGTGCCCCAACCTGTTCCCAGGGGAAGAGCAGGCGTGCGGGATTGTGAAGACAGAACTTACAGTCTTCTGTTTTCTGTCTCTTTGCTAAGAATAAAGACCTTGAGATAAGACTCATGATAGGTGGCAGAATAAGAGTGCTTTCCAAGGCATCCAGCAACAAAGTTGGGGACTGACCTGAGAGGGGCCCAATAGGGGTCAGCTATTAGTGAAGGATGGCAGAAAAGACTGCAGTATAGTAGCCAGGAACCTTCCAGAACAGCAGTTTTCAACACGACCTTTCACGGGGTTCCTTTAGACCGTCAGTTACATTACTACTCATTAGCAATAGCAACATAACAGTTAGGAAGCACCAACAAAAATAATTTTAAGATTGGGGGTCACCACAACATGAGCACTACAGTAAAGGGTTGTAGTATTAGGGAGGTTGGAAACCACTGCTGTAGATTATAAGGTACCTCACAGCGGAGCAAACAGAGCTCACGATTTTCTGCTTTGTCACAAAACCCCCTAGAGAGCGGAGACAAATATAAACATGTGACCCCACACTTCTCACATGTGGTGGGGAAGGAGCTCCCCAGTGATTGACAGCTATCTTGTGAAAAGAGGCACAGGACAGAGAGGTCAAAGTCAAATGAGAGGTGGGGGTGGGGGAAGACACGGAATGGTGGATACTGGATCACTAAACATCAAACTACGAGTAGAAGTTCCTTGTTTATATCTAGTTCCCACAACAGTCAAAGGAGTTTGTCCCATGTGGCCGAGGACCTGCAACTTTTTACTGTAAGACAATGGCTAGACTCAGCGTTTCCTGAGAATCACAGGTATTTTTCTACATGAGCCCTTTGGTTTTATTATTTTGCATTTTTAAAATACTCATTGAAATAAAGACCATCTATAATCAAATTAGGTAAAATACAGCACTGTGCAATAGGGAAAGCAATGTGAAAACAGTCAGTGCCTCATCATGAAAACTATTAAAGTATTTATTCACCCTTTTCACTTGCTTTCTCTCTTTCTGAAGCGAATAAAAGACTGTGAACAATTGCAGAGCCCAGTCAATGAAATGTTACGTCCAAAGCAGTTGTGCAAATTTGTGTGTCATAACTTGACGGCAAAAAATAGTAAAGGTTGAACGTAGAGTCTCTTGGGGTGAAAATAAAGTGTCCCCTTAATAAAACTTGAATATAGTTCAGGATTGTCCACAACTGGATATGAAGTAAGAAAACTAAAAAAGTACCCAGATCCTATTTTCCGTGTTTTTTACTGAAATATTGACATATGAAGAAAAGGATATGCTAGCTTTTCCCAGGGCAAAGTATTAATCATGTTCCCCTAAAATTTGAGGGTTAATTTATTGAGGCAGGTTTTATATGCATGTCCAAACAGCAGAAGTTTGAGAAACCAACAAAGGTACATGTGTGAATACTCGCAGATTTTACATACAGCAAAAGTTTATTATAAAAAATGATTGACAAGAGCGGCCGCCTTTCATTTAGGTTTGCTTAATATACAAACACACCAAAACTCAAAACTGCATAAGAACAATTTAACAAGATATGTTAAAGACCTAATTATTTATGATAAAGAATAAATTAAATACCACAGGAAATCATTAAAAAAAAACCCTTTGAAATGAAAAAGAAAAAATTTTCCCAGATAAGAAAAGTTATAAATCACCTAGATGTAAATCCCAAAAACCAAATGGGTAAGACTTATGTCATAAACCATGGAAGATTACTTTAAAACATCTCAGTAAAAATATTATACAAGACATCTTCTCTTACCAGAGATCAATTTACATTAAAAAAACACAAAGTTAAAAAAAAATAACAGACTAAACAGAATAAAAAGTCTACACATTTATTTCCAGTATGTTAGGATGAAGAATGAACAGCACAAGCAGGTCTGGCGGTGCATGTTTGGCCTGTAATCCCAGAAGCAGGAAGACCAGGAGGTCACCGCCATTTCCCACTACAGAGTGAGTTCGAAACCAGCCTGCGCTACATAAGACCCTGTCTCAAAGCGAACACCACAAGCCAGTGAGGGGTATTTTACAAGTGATGTTGATAAGACTAGACCTCCTTTGTCCCTCTAAACACAAAAGCTTAGATTAATTAAAGGTTTACATTAGTGAAACACAACAGCTCATATATACATATGCATAGACTGAAAATGGAAAGTAGGTGCCCATGTATGCATATGTAACTAATATTAACCGACCCTTAAGAAGACTGAACTTCTTTTCCAAGAGATCAGTATGGTACTCGATGGTGTTTTATACTCGTTTAACACGGAGTATGAAAGGTTGATTTCCTGGGGACAGCAGAGTGCTGGATAACAGGTGCTGAAGATGAGGAGACTGGAGACAGTATCAAGTGGCACAGCATCCCATAGACAGATAACAGAGCTCAAACCCTCTAAGCCGACCACAGCTAGCAGGAGCCCTGATGACTCGATCACTAATCAGCGACTTTCAGTGTTTTCATCACCGAAATCAGTATGTGGAAGACTGCACGTGCTCTTTTCACGATGTATACATGCACCCAGTCATAAATGTATACCAGCTGATTGGCAATTAAAAAATAAACAGATTTTTAAAAGGTTTGAAAAGATCTATGTGTCACTTTATGACAACAAAGTGGAAATCTAGTAGGCTCAGTGTCATAGAGGTGATATAGGTTATGTACATGGAGCTCATATAAGATATGTGTATTTATGCATCTTAGTCTGAATCATAATATACAACTATGTCTCATATTATAGAACGTTATGTAAGCATTATAAGTAACACATTAGGTAGTAGTGATGAACTTAAATTTATATGTAGTTAAAAAAACGCAATCTGATGAAAAGGAAGGATGCAAGAACTCATAGTAGAAAATTTCTCTTGTATTTGAAACTATGTTTATCTGTTTGCTAGAATGGAGCACTTCTGGGTAATGAGAAGTGGTCACAGACTGGTGACTTGGCTGTGTGAGACCAAGTTCAGTATTTTGGCTTTCTGTATGGATTTAAGTTGTTTATGAATTTGAAAATCTAGAGATTCTTATGAGTTGTGAAGGAGATATCCCTGTAGTGTCTGAGAGTCCTTGCCTGGTTCCACTGTTAGACATGCTAAGGAGGGCTTTGCAGCTGCAGAAATGCTGGGGAGGTATTTCAAGTATGAGAAGCCAGGGTTAACGGGAATAGAAACCATCTCTGCTTGTGCACATGGAATTTCCATTATAAAAATGCTTCTTCAGCTTCATTTTAGACTAAAAATAAAAAGGAAGAATGCATACCCATAATCTGCAATTTTACATGCTAAATGTGATACTTTGACAGGACATATACAATGCGTTTTATATAAAATGTGGAACTAATAATAAGCCAATCATTTTTAAGTTATTTGCAACTGACTGCTTTGTATGGATCTACCATCTGAGCCTATTCCGATATGCCATAAACATGGGACCAGACCAAACCAGCAGGAGGGATTTTCTTTTCTTCAACCAGGAACCATATGCCAGGTAAAAATGTGGATAGTCACACACACCCCCATTGTCTCTCTCAAAGCCAGAACTACAGCTGAACAAATAGAGTAGCTACACACACCTTCTGGGACTGTTTTGTTCGCCGAGTGATCCCCACAGCAATGTTCCAAGTGGAAAGTGCAGTGCAGTTCAGGCACATGCTCTCCTTCACATAGACGGAGCTGGCTGGAATCAGTCAGCAAACACTGAGCCCAGCATGCCCCTCTGCACACAGGCGCTATCAATCAGTACAATGTCACCAATGTGGCTGGGAGTCAAAGCATCCAATTTGACTTGAATCTATCTCTCCACAGCAATGTTGCTTGTAGCTGAAGACAACATGGCTTTTCTGTTGGTTTTGGTAGTTTCATAGTTTTGATAATTTTTATAACTTAATTTTGATAGCTTATGAAAACAGGTACAGAATCAGATTCAATAAAGAAGTATTTTCTTTGCAACCCCATGATTTTTGTCATTACACATGCTATTTACACTCTGAATTAAATGGGGTGTTGAGAGGTTAATGATCCAGCCAGTATTTTGAGGACTCTAGATTGAAAACATGCCTTCAAAGTTTGTCAGTTCTCTTTTGAAGATAATTTTAATTGTGTTTTCAAAGTTAGAAAGACCAGTCTTCTTCCTTACTAAAACTGTTGACAAGTATTGTATGTTATCACAGTTCATTTGCTTTCCAACACTCTGGAAAAGAAACACGTGATATCAGAACAAACAGCAAAGTGTAACAAAAGGCTTGGACCTCTTGTGGCTTTTATCACAGCAGGGCATGTTGCTTCCTTTGCTTAATTTAAGAGTTGAAGAAACAATGACTTGATTAAGGCCTTTGTATATCACATTCATTATCTACACAGTAACATACAAGTTCCTAAACAGAATTGTATGAAAAGTGATGGATCAAATAATAAGTTCACTTGGCATACAAGGAACACTTAGAATACATGTAACTTTGGGTCTAATTACAGATTCAGTGCTAAAATGAATAACAGTGGTTCACGGCTTTCTACGGAGTGAATGAAATTGTTTTTGATAACTTATGGAATAAACAACTTGGAATCATGTAATTTATTGTATACTACACTGTTAGAATTGTATGTTACACTGTTAGAATAATTCAAAAGTTAAAATGACTTTTATGAAGGAATAGATCTTGATGTGATACTTATTTGTCCTGGGTGCTTGTTAATTTCTCATCATGTTCAGAATATTAAAACACAGAAGCTATAGACTGGCTGAAATAGGACTTAATTCAGGAGTGGTTGAATTAGGTCTTTTTGATACAGAGTTACATGTTGATGTAGACATCTCCAACCATTGAGCTTGGAGGGTAAGTGGGCAGGACGTGTTCTGATCTGCAGAAGGTCTACATCTTTGCATGTCTGTGTGGTTCACACTTCCTCTGATTTGTAGAACATGAGGATACAGCCAAAATTATGTGTAGACAACATTCACATTCAACACTGTGTTGACCACACATAGTGGTCAATCATAGTGATGGAGGGTCTGCAGCTTTCACAAAAAAAAAAAAAAAAAAAAAAAAGCTGTAGCTAAATCTAAATGTGAAGAATTTGACTGGTGGCATACACTTCTGGAAATCTGGACCAAAAAAGCTTTCAAATTCCACACTTGGTCTTTCTTAGCCACCTGTACTCAGTAGCAATATGTCTAAAATAAGTTTTCCCCAGGATAAGACATAAGGACTAGAAATGACTCGAAAGTATAATAAGTATACAAGAAATTGACTTTTATTAATTATAGCTATAAATTAGTGCAAAAAGTCAATTAGTGCACCTAACAATAGCAACAGGAGTATTTATTTATATATTAAGGTATGAAGTCTATGAGAAAAATTCTTTGCAAGCGCATTATTTCCCTATGGCCTCCCTCTTCAGCCCAGTCTGGCTTCCAGTTTGCGGCAATCCTCCACCCTCAACTTGCTGCGGGCAGAGGTTACTGGGTGAGGGTTCTTTCAATACAGCGAAGTGTACACATCCAAGTTCCAAGCAGAGCAGGCTGTGTCCACATGTTCTCACACAGGCACTCATCAGAGAACCTTACTTCAGTGGAGACCCCTCTCTATAAGTGACCGTGGAAGAAACAGAGGGCCCGCATTTTGAGGATTTGAGTGATTAACTCAGGCCCAGGCTTGGAAATGTAACGAAACAGGACAAAATTCTATAGAGCTACATCCCCCAAAACACTAGCATTGAGAAAGCGGAAGCAGTACAATTGCCATTTTTACCTGTGGAAGAAAGCACAGAGCAAACAACAGTTCTCATGAGAAACCTGGAAAAGAAGGAGATATCATAGAGTTTTTAAAGGCAAAAAGAAAGGATATGTCTCAAGTTGTGTCTCTGGCTAGGCTATAACGCACTGTCAGACGGAGGACTGCTAACGGAATGTGTCATTTTAAAAGCCCCGCTCTAGACAATTAAAAGGAGGTTTTGAATAGCCGCATTCCTGTTGCTCTGTTAAAGAGTGACATTGCTCCAGAGCTACACAGAGCAGACAAATAAGATGGAAGCTTAAAGGACTGTGCACCCTTTTCCAGAAACAGTGTTATAGATTAAAAAATGGTTTTTAAAGCCATCTAACAAGCTTTTAAATTACTCCCCCCTTTGTCTTCTTTCTGCACGTTAGTTCCTATAACATGAAAACAGATTCTTGAAAAAATGTCTTTGAATTATAAGGCTGTGGCAGTCATGGTAATACTCCATTTGTAGAACTAGACAGTAAATCTAGCTATAATATAAATTCTTCAAATATTCTTCCTTGGCTAATGTCTGTTACAACAATGAAGTCGTTTTGAATCTACAGGGGCCAATTTGCACTGCACATGGGGTTCAGGGCTTCCTGGCTATAATTAGAACATGGTAGCTGGGCTAGATGAGTTTTGGTTGCTATAGCTACCCTATCTGCAACATTTATCTGCTGACCAGTGGCCTATGCCATGTATTGGTTGTAAATTGCTTATTAGCCACTTGTCGTTTTTTTGCTTCAACACCAATTCCAAACTGGCCCTGTCAGAAACCCATGCTTTTGCATTCACTGGGGAACAGACCAGAAGAAGATGAATGCACATTTGCCTGAGCCCTTAGCCTGCTCATTGTCGTCTCTGCTCAGGCAAAACACTGAGTCGTCTAAGTCACTGTTAACAATGTTTTGCATTTTCTGTGATTTTACAATAGAAAATCGAAAACTTCCTTTTTCCAGAAATATTCCACATTATAAGATCTCTTTACTTTCAGAAAAAAATGATAAACAACTAATAAACTTCATGGTTTTACTTTTAAAGGTCTTGATTGCTAATATATTAAAGACTGTCTAAAGCTCAGTTGTTATACAGATTCCGTTATCATTTTCGGTAGCTTTTGTTCTCTTACAATTTCAAACGTGCCCACAGTGGATTCCACACACCCCCCACTTCCCTTCCATTCCTACAGGCACATCTTCTCCCTATAAACGTCTTTCCTCCACTTGTCTTGGTCTTTGTTCGGTGTCCTGCAGAGTCTGACCGGGGACATTGGTAAGGCCAGTTTTAAGACTGGTACCAAATGTGTCTGAGACTTGCAAAGAACTGTGGCCATTTTCTTCCACAGTTACATCTACATTCACTGAAAGCTAACAGCACACAAGCTTATGTCCCTGAGGGCACTGTGTCAATACTCTGAGTATATGCATAGCCTCGCCCAGAATATCTTACCAAAGCTATTGATATTACGTCAAAAGATCAGCACAGTTATGAATATTTCATGACGGCTTTGAGCAGGCGCAGGATGGATAAACCCGGGATTCTCCCAAAATAAAACTGTTCTTTACACTCTGCTTTCTCTATCGTCTTTAAAAATGAGACATTTCATTCATTATACAAATATATGTAAATCATAAGCAAGGCATGGCAGTACACATCAGTAATCTCCACCACTGTGGAGAGACAGAGCCAAGATATCTTGAGATCCAGCAAGGTCAACATGAACAATCCAGCAAGATCACTTTAAAACACAAAAATAGCTTATTATGGACATTGGATTTAAATAATTTTTAGCACATTACAACAGAGTGACAGAGTGTGTACCAGATGAATAAAACATTGTCACTTGAATGTGGAAGTAAAGGGTCATAAAGAATACTGTGATGGGCTGGGTGTTGGTGGCTCATGCCTTTAATCCCAGCACTCCGGAGGCAGAGGCAGGCAGATCTCTGTGAGTTCGAGACCAGCCTGGTCTACCAGAGCTAGTTCTAGGACAGCCTCCAAAACAATACAGAGAAACCCTGTCTCGACAAACAAACAAACAAACAAACAAACAAAAATACTATGATGAACACAGGTAAAAATTTGCCTTTGGAACAAGTTGACTTGTAAAATTGTGTAGAAGCCAATTTCACATGAAACTTTAGGATCTAGAGGTTACCACAGATGGTATTTAGAGCTTAACAGAGCTCTTGTACCATACGTAAATATAAGATGAAAATTTGGTTTTCATGTCATAACCCTGTGATCACAATCAGATCCAAAGGAAACCCCAGTTCCCTAAACTTCAAAAGCATTTCATCTATCAGAAATGAGTTCAACCTAGGCTAGAGGATTTTCAGTGTAAAGCCAAGCATCCCTCAGGAACTGGAGAAATTGTTCCCATCTTTGAAAAGAAGTCATTTTTGGATATTAGAATGCCATTTGGAGTTTGGGGAATTTGGACGTGATAGTCACTGTATATAGAACTTGTCTCAGGCTGGGGTTCAGATGCCCCACTATGTAAAGACACAACCATAGTGGGGCTTTAGATACGGTAAGCTCCTTTTAACTTAAAACCTAACTGCAGTCTGAAGAGTAATGAAGCTCCCAGAGAGCTGGAACCAGCCATCACTGTAATGATTTAGCTTCTTCCCTTAGGGCCACAACATCCCTAAGTCAAAAGGGCACCCTTAGCCCACTCGGGCAATGAGCATCTGATAAATGAGGTGGTGCCACACTTCTGATAGAGTAATTGATCATTTCCAATTAAATCTCGAGAAAAATCAATGGTTGTTTCTTAGACTGTTTACATCAATTAACTTGTGTCAATAATGTGTATCTTATATGCATAATTTGTAGGAGAAGGGTCATTCTGTTTATAACCTGGTTCTACTTTTGAGCCTTTGGCATTACTGCATCAGTCATTCACAACAACAAAATCCTTTTTGAGGGGAGGTCAGGGATTTTACCCATGGTCCCGGCTAGCCTGGATTTCATAAGCAGCTCAGACTGGTCTGAAACTCATCTCTGACTGTCCTGAATGCATTATGTAGCCCAGGCTACCCTCAGATATAATCATGACATGAATGAACATAGATTCAACTCTGAAGCAGTAAAGCAACTCTGGGAAACATTTAAGGCTGCTGGGTTGAAATCTGAGAAAGTCACCATGTATTAGGACTTGGTTCTTGTTCAGACTTATTCTACTAACATCACTTCTAAAATGGTTTTGGTACAAGCACAGCTAAGATACTCATGAGTATCAGTTGCAGGCCAGAGGTTCTGGCTGCTCAAGGAGAAATAAGTCAGAAGGGGTCTTGCTCCCCCTGAGCATGCTCTCCAGAGTATATGCCCTTACAAGCAAGGGTCAAGGGAGGCAGCAAAAAGCCATTGCTTTTCCTCCTGATTTCCATATACCTGGGCAGTTGGAAGGATACTAGGTATGTATGTGAGTCTTCTTGAGTTAATCTTCCCAGAGAACACCTTTCAGACCTCTCCAGAGGCCTTGATTACAGATCCAATCAAGGAGACAACCAAGATGTGAAACCCAAGAAAATAAACTCAAACACACAAAAAAAATATCAAAACACACAAAGAAACAGAGTACCATCAACACAGAGAGGTTTGATCTCATCTTAAGGGACGTCAGACTCTGAAATGCAATGAAAACTATAAAAAACAATTAGTGGTTGATTGCTCAGTGGTAAGAGCATTTTCTGCTCTTACAGAGGACCCACATTGGATAGTTCACAACTATCTCACTTCTAACCTCTAAGGACATCTATACTCATATGCAAACATCCACATACAGACACACAAATACACATATTAAAAGGTAAATATAAAAAACTGCTAGAAATTAATCCTGGAATCATATGCCAGGTAGATTTTAGAAGGAGGAAGCCAAGTAAAAATTTGAACAAGTGATATTTAAAATTTAAATATCAAGGGGCTGGAGAGATGGCTCAGAGGTTAAGAGCACTGACTGCTCTTCCTGAGGTCTTGGGTTCAATTCCCAGCAACCACATAGTGGCTCACAGCCATCTACAATTCAATCTGCTGTATATGTAATAAATAAATAAATCTTTTTAAAAAATTTAAATATCAAAACCTTGAATAACCAAGGCTCTGCCAACACTACTTAGTGGCACAGGCATTGTTGATGTAACATAGGTAGATACCCACATTCCAAAACAATCATTTGAATAAAAAGATAGGCATATAGAAAGAAAAGCATTATTTCTTCCCTCATAGTAGCTAGGATAATGACCCCTTCAACCTCTCCAGCCCTGGTCCCAGGTAACTCAATGCAACACATTGACATCAGCCCATTTAAAGGGAAATTATGATGTAGGTCCTATTTCTACTTATTCACAAGGTGTCCCAAACCAGTGTAACTGCAGAGGAACTTGGAAATTTCCCTCCTCAAAGCTGGGTAGATATTTACATAAAAACAGGGGCAGAATATCCGTACTGATGAGACAGAACAGCAGTTTCCACAGCAGCACAAGCTGACATGAAGACAGCCAGTAAACAGCTGAAGGGTAGCATAAACCTTCTAGCATAGGTCCTACCAGTCAGAGGAGAGATTAGGAACATCAGGAGCATGGAGATGCAGATGTTGAACCAAGGATCACTTTAAGATAGAGAAAGAAAGTTCACTTACAAAGGAACTGCAGCCTGAGGACTCCCTTCTTTACCAACAAGGAAAGAGATGAGTGCACTGACACGCTGAATGTTAACTGAAAATCATGGGCACCTCAAAACCACCTTCCAGCATGAACCAGGCAGCCATCTGTAGACACACATTTAAATAAATGCTCATCACCATGAGGTGTTTCCCAAAAGAACCCTGAAATCAAAACAAATAAACAAAAAGCCAGTAAGTAAAAGAATGGAAACACAATCTTGGAAACTCACAAAATCATTTGATAAAACTGTAAGAGAATCAAGATGTACTTTATGATATGAAACTTTGTTTTCTCCTTTAACAAAAGTAAAACAGTAGAAAATAAACTACAAGTGAGAGGCAAAGATATGGAAACACAGAGACACAGAATTTAGCTGTATGTGCTGGCTCACACCTATAATTTCAGCACTGAGGTGACTGAGGCAGGAGGGTCCCACAGGAGTCTGAGGCTAGCATGGGCAGAGAGTGAGTTCCGGGCTAACCTCAGCTACAAAGAGACCCTAAAACATCAAAATAGAATTCAGATGCTGAGTAGCTTCATAAAAAAATTATAAATGCTGCCAAGGATCTAGGAGAAAAAGGAAAATGTATATATCTTGATGAGAATGACTGAAAAAGAGACGAGTAAGAAAATGTCTAGAACTGCTGAAACTATAACCAGTATAGCTTAGCTGTCATTCCTGTGTAAATGCACAAAGGGATCAGAATACAGAAGATAAAAAACATGGTTTACACAGATCAGTTTTAGAAAAATGAAATTTGACCACAGGGAAATCAAAATGTGACATTGTTTTCCTTCTCCGATAATCTTAGAAAGTTCTGAATCATGATTTACACTCAGGGTCTAACACTGAATTAAAAGTCTACATTATATATCCTTTTGCTCTATTTCCATTTCTAGAATTTAAGAATTAATTTTGTGTTATGGGTATTAACCAAGAAAAAACTTAGTCTCAGTTATCTAGAACATGGAGAAAGTTATGTTGATCCCTGAAAAGCTATTTACTAACAAAACTAATTATTGTTAAGTTTAGAACATTCGAGCAGACTAACCAAGTTGGGGTTTTAGTCACAAAACACCCTGAATAGTCTCCATCCAGCAACGAGGAGGAAAACCAGTGTCAAATATTTAAACACTTTAGTGATGGCACCAGGTTGGGGCCTATTGACCTGATAGACAGCACATGTGGCCTGGATAGTCTCAGTAGTTTTGATTCCTTTATCATCCCAGGCAGATACCAAAAAGGATATATTTACATTTACTGTGCTCTAAACACTTCAGTGTGTATTCAAGAAATGCTTGTAACTAACGTCCTGCTATTTTGACCTTCAGAGTAGTGACTTGTACAAAGGCGGGACAAAACTTTCTGATCAACACAGCTTTAATGCACTTTAAGGTTGGTAAACAGGTTAAGGAAGGCACATCTAGGACTTTTGACTTTAGCCCAGTAAACTTTGAAACTAACAGTTGGTGCTACCATGCTTCCTGGTTAAACAACAACAAAACTTCACTATAAAGTGAAAAGAGTGTCAGGAAATCAACAGGATAAAAAAAAAGGGTCCTTGAAAAATTTAAAGCTTTTTCCTTAAAAAAAAGCGCATCTATTTTTAGTATTCTTACAAATAAGCCTTATACAAAACAAGCTGAAAATTCCACGGCTTCAAGCATTCTTCCAAGGGTAGGGATGTGGCTCCTAACATGGGCAAGACTTCGGACCCATCAACAGATGGGAAGTAACACTATTTCCAGTATCTAGAAAACTTGAGGTATTATCACTTAAAAAAATACATATTTGTACTTGTATTACGAGACACTTAAAATTGGCACCTAAATAATTAGGTTTTGGGAGCATGTCGTACAGGGCGTTGGTGAGAACACTGACATTCTGTAAAACTGTCCAGTCAAGTAGCAGCAGGACAATGTGCCTAGGGATCGGGAGGCGTGGGTGAGGAGTGTGTTTGCTCTTCCCTTGCTGTCCCGATGCTCAGCCTAGGACTTGAGAACCTCGTCCCACGAGTCCCCTCCACACTCAGTTTGTCAAGCACCACGAGGCAGGGCCAGCAGCAGGTCGGTCCAGACGCTCATCCCGGGAACCTCGAAATCTCCATCCAGAGCTTTGCCGCCGCGCAGGGTCTCCAGGACCTCTTCCGGCAAGGGTGGTGGGGCCTGGCACAGTCTCTGCAGCCGGAGGCGCAGCTCTTCCCAGGGCATGTCCCCAGGCTGCGTGGGGACCCAGGAGCCCTCCCTCAGGTCATAGCGCAGCTGCGCGGCCCAGGATGCCAGCAGGCCCAGGTAGGCACGAGACAGCGCCGGGTGGCAGCTGGCCAAGGAGGCCAGGCGATCCGCGGGCAGCCGGCGGCAGAAGGCGGCCAAGGCCTCGGGGCTCCCGAGAAGCCAGTGCAGCAAAAGTCCCTGCGTCTCCGTCTCCTCTGCTCCTCCCGCACAGTCCGCGGCGCCCGCAGGCTCCAGGTCTCCACCGTGGCTGCAGCGGCCCAGCAGCAGAGCCTCGCCCAGCACGCCCAGCACGTGCCCGCGGGGCCCGCGCGCCCACAGCGCCTCCAGGAGCCCCCGCGCCGCCGCGGCCCCGGCCCCGCCCAGCTCGCGCAGGCGCGCGCCCAGCAGCTCGGCGTGCGTGCGCAGCAGCGCGCCCGCGGGCGCGTCCCCGCCGCCGAGGCGGAGCAGCAGGCGCAGCGCGCTCCCGCGGCGCGCCAGGAGCAGCAGGCGCGGCTGCGGCGCGTCGTCCTCGCCGTCCGCCGCGGGGCCCGGGAAGAGCAGGCGCGGCAGCGCGCGGGCGGCGGCGGGCGCGAGCGCGCGGTTGCTCAGCAGGCGCAGGGCGAGCCGCGCGTCCCCCGACTCCAGCGCCGCGAAGCTGCGCAGCCCCGGAGGCCCCGCCCACGGCCCGAGCCGCCTCTCCAGCGCCGCCCGCGCGGCCGCGCGACCCGCGAAGCGTCGGTACACGTGCAGCAGGTAGCGCGCCCACTGCAGCGCCCTGCGCACGGTCACGGCATCCCAGGAGCGCGCCTGCGCCCCGCGGGCCACGGCCAGCACGTCCGAGAAGCGTTCCAGGTGCTGCACGAGCGGCTCCATGGCGGCCGCTTCCGCCTCGCTCTCTTCCCGCCTCCCGCCCCGCCCCAACCCCCAGGAACGAACCGATTGGGCGTGAGCGCGAGGCTCCGCCTCCGCCTGCCCTGCCACTGGTTCACGCGCGTGCCAGTCTCGCGATAGGGCTTCCGGGGTCCATTGGCGCTGGAAAACAAACTGGGAGGAAGTTGCGAGCTTCCACTCCCGGGCTGGGAGAGCCCGCCTCTACGCGCTAGGCTTTTTGCCTGCCGTTTTGCTTCGAAAATGCTCTTGGTGGACGGTTTGGACGCTGTCCTGAAAGGGCGCTGGCAGCCGTCGCAGTGCGAATGTGAGCTGCGTGCGAGCTCAGTGCTCTCAAACTGCCCGTTTTCCGGGTGCGTGTGGAACACGGACCCTGCCACAGAGCTGCATCCCCGGACCGTCTTCTTTTTCTCTTATTTATTTATTCGGAGTAGTCCTCCCACTAAATTAAGTAGGCAGCCATTCAATCTGCGAGACATGTCTCACCTAACCTAGTGAATTACATTACTGCCCTCGGGCCTCCTGGCTGAGCACGTGATGAAATGTTTATGCTCATTAATCTGCTTATTGATGCCAGAGTCTGTGCGCTAAATTCTGGGCTCCATTGTCAAAGCATATATTTAAGCTAGTTTTGTTTACCATTAGCCCAGGCTGTATTGTTTGGCCTTGTGATTTTATTTTGATATAACTGTGTGATATCACTTGGAATCTTGGCTTGGCTGGTGGAAATGACAACCAAGGGAGCAGCCACCTTTTTTTTTTTTTTTTTTTTTTAAGCAGGTGTACAGAGGTTACTGCTGGAGCATTCAGCGAATACTTTAGTCACAGTGGTGTGATAGTGTGTGGAAGTAGAGAACGAGAACAATAAAGTTTAGTTAAGTGCTATCCTGTCCCCCACAGGATGTGATAACATTCCATTTAAGAGAGACGTTTAACTAATCACCTCATATGTGGCGGGCAAACCCCAAGGCCAGGAGGATCATTGATATGTTTTAGACTGCTAGAGTGGAAACCAGATCTAATCCAGGATGAAAAAGAAGTCAAACCAGCATCAGTTCCAGGGGGCTGGGGCAGTGCAGAGAAACCTCACCAGCTCCAAGCCTTTCTTCTCAGACCCGAGTCCGTGTTAAATCTCAGTATCACGGTGAGCTTTATTTCACAGTAGCCGTTATTCTATATGCATGCATATGATGACTTCCCATCAGAAGAAAGCCCTATGTGGCGGGCTAGAACCAGTGTTTCATATAATACAGCAAAATTCAACCAGAGGTTGAAAGATGACCAATAACTTCAAGAGACCTATGCACTTAAGGCAGAAATTAGGAGGACTCCCAAACCCACTTAAGTGTAATGCAAATCAGAGTTTGTATATTTTTAAAATACTAATTATGATTTTTTTTTAAAAGCTCGGTTGGAAGTGGATAGAGTTCTGGAAGGTTTCATGGACTGATCTTTGCTTTAGCCCGTGAAAATGTTTGGGCTATCGGGAGACGATGGAAAGCCAAGTCGGGGAAGTGCACAAGTTAAAATGTGAGTGTAAGATGTGTGTGCCTTGTGGTGGGAACCCTAGGGACAGTCTTCCACCTGCTGGCTATGCTCTGCAAGTTCCCAACAGTAGTAGGAAGTTTTTATTAAAACAACGTTTCATTCAAACCGCAGTTGAGCAATGTAAACAACTAAGAAAAAGACATTTTCACACAGAATGTACCTCAGAGGCCTCTGGAGAGATGGATATAAATACATGTAAATAAATTATACCACTGTGGATTTCTGTTGCTTACTTCCAATATGTATTCTGTGGTGCTTTCAATAAGAGATGTCCCTCACAGGCTCCGGTACTTGGAGCCTTGGTTCCTAGTTGGTAGCACTGTTTGAGAAGGTGGGAGACACTAGGCCTTGCTGGAGAAAGTATGTAATCAGGGTGAGCGTTGAGAGCTTAAAGCCTTCACTACTTCCAAGTTCATCTTTTTCAGGTTTCATGTTTGCAGGGGAGCATGCCAGCTCTCAGCTTCCGGCTTCTTCTGCCACGCCTGCCTGCCTGCCTCCTGTTGCCTTGTCTCCTCACCATGATGCACTCACTCTTGCGCCTCTGGAACCTGGGTACCGTAAGCTTAGATAAACCCTTCTGTGAGTTGCCTTGGTCATGATGTTCTATCTCAGCAACAGAAAGTAACTAATGCAAATTTTCCATTACTGCCATTGTGCTTTGGGATAGGGATGCCTGCTCAGCTCCACAGGCAGGACCAGAAAATGTTAACTGATCACATTAATGAACCCCTCTCTTAATGTAGCAATTCATCCTTAAGCCCCTCTCTCTATAATATTCTCTAGGAACTAAAATAAATTCAGAAGTAGCCAGACGAATTAACAGCACTTGTTAGGCTTACAGGATTCAGAAAAAAGTTTCTTAAATATATATATTTATATATTTTTTTTACTCATGTCACTTTCAGTTCCCTCTCCCTCCCCTCCTCTCCCACTCCTCAATCCTCCCAACCCTTCACCCCCACTCCATTCCCTCTCAGCTCCCCAGGGAGGTCAAGGGCCTCCATGAGGGAATTTAAGAGTCTGTCACATCATCCCAGGAAGGGCCCAGGTTCTTCCCCATGTGTCCAGGCTGAGAGAGCATCCCTCCACGTAGTATGGGTTCCCAGAGTCCTTCTGTATGCCAGGAATAAATACTTCTCCACTCTCCAAGGTCCCACAGATTGCCAAGGCCTCCTCTCTGTCACCCAGGTTCGGTGGGAGGGTGTCTGGATCAGTCCCATGCTGGCCCCTCAGTCATCAGTCTGGGGTCCATGTGTTCCCCCTTGTTTAGGTCAGCTGCCTCTGTGGGTTTCACCAGCCTGAACTTGATTCCTTTGGTCATCACTCTTCTTTGTGACTGGGTTCCAGGAGTTCAATTCGGTTCACAGCTGTGGGTATCTGACTCTGCCTCCATCAAGTTCTAGGATGGCATATAAGGTAGTCATCATTCTCACCATCATGGGAGGGCATTTAAGGTAGCCTTAATGCTAGTTGGTATCATTCTTGTAGATCTGTGAAGATCTCACTAGTGCCAGATCTCTCCTCCAACTTATACTGGCTCCCTCTTTTATGGTATCTCCCATCTGTTTCTCCTCTATTCTTACCCTGGCTCAACCTTCCTGCTCTCGCATGTCCTCCTCTCCCCTCGTCTTTTCTCCCTCTCTTTCTCCCATCTCCTTCTATCCTCCCCTTCTCTGCCCCCAGTCCAATTAGGAGATCACATCACATAACCTTTCTCTGGGTTACCATGCATATCTCTCTTAGGGTCCTCCCTGCAACCCAGACTATCTGGCAGTGGGATTGTGGGCTGGCAGTGCCCTGCTCCATGTCTAAAATCCATATGTGTGTGAGTACCTACCATGCTTGTCTTTTTGTGACTGGGTTATCTCACTCAGGATAGTTTCTTCTAGTGCCATCCATTTGCCTGTAAATTTCAAGATTCCATTATTTTTTTTTATTCTGAAGGCAGTTAGGGCACCAGCAGCACGGAAATGTGTGCTAAGAAACAGTTGCTTGGGTTTGAAATTCATTCACATGTGGCAGTAACATTTAACCTCATAGTGCTTTTAAAGCGGTCAGAAAGAACTTGGGTCTAAGTAGAATCACATTCTATGTATTTTGAATGAGATTATAAAAACAACACTGTTGGTGTTATCATTTCTGGTTAATTATGACTCAAAAATATGAAGTTAATTCTTTTTTCGGGTGGTAGGTGATAAGAGATAGTTTATATTGTGGAGCCATTTTGAGTGACCATGACCCAGTAACACAGATTTCAGTTATCTCAAATTCCATGTTCCAATGTGGAAGCAGTTTCATGAAGTTTTAAAAAATAGTTTTACAAAACAAAAGAACGTCATAAATACAGGCAAGTTTAAAATACGTTTGTGGGTACATCAGAGAGGCAGGTACAGCAAGATGAGGGAAACTTTCCTATAGGCCCAACATGCTGTCTGAGCTTTTGGATTGGCGGAAGCTAGTGTCTGCTAACTCAGTAGATTCCAAACAGCATGCGCAAAACTATGGCTGAACTGTGAACAAAATCTCCTGAAAAGAAGCTGTGTCTAAGGAGATTGACTGACTATAATTTCAGTACTGTGGAGAGATCAGAATGTTGTAGGTTGGTCCAGAGGCTACCTACCCTTCCTTAGTCTAGAATAGTCCTCTGGGACAGCTTATTTTTTGCCCACCTCTGTTAACCCGTTTTAAAAGGTATCCTCAGGAAATGTGATGAATCCTCTCAAACATAAAAATCACTAGTTTTAATTATTACACTTGTAGGGTCCAGGAAGGTAGCCCTAATGAATAAGAACCCTCCTTGTGCCAGTGTGAAGACATGAGTCTGACTCCTTAGCACCCGTATAAAAAACTGGGCATGGCTATGCATGCCTCCTCCAAAGCAAGCATTGGGGTGGAGGGAACAGGTGACCTCAGGAGTTTATTTTAATTCAGTGAGAAATCCCGCCTCAAGGCAGTAACAGGGAGTTTGAGGAAGACATCTACTTACTAGGACCTCCACATGTGTATACATGGATCTATGTATCTATACACTTACATTCATGCATCAGGCAGACGTGCACAGACACACACAATGTGCATATATGAAACAAGCTTATTTTGTCTTAAAATACAGTTTTGTGTTGGGTTGTCCATTTTTGATATGGATTATGTAATTTGGAGGCTAGTGGATGGAACTGGAGACTATCATGTTAAGTTAAATAAGCCAAACTCAGAAAGACGTTAGTTTGATGAGAATTGTAGTCCATTGTCTCAGTTATTGGAACACTTGATCCCAGGAGGTGGTGCTGTTTGGAGAGGATATGGAACCTTTAGGAGGTGAGCCTTGCTGGAAGAAGAGTTACCTCATAGCTGAGGAGAGCTCTGAGGGTTTGTAACCTGGCTCACCTTCCTATTCCACTCTGTTGCTTTCTGTGTGCTGCTGAAAATGTGGTCAACCAGCTTCCTTCTCCTGCTGCCATGCCTTGCCTTCCCTGCTATGATAGACTCCATCCCTCTGAACCCATAAGCCAGGATAAACCCTTTCTTCCTTAAGTTGCATTGGTCATGGTATTTTATTACAGCAACAGAAAAGTGACTAATACAGGTAGTAAGGAGACCTGTGTGTGTGTGTGTGTGTGTGTGTGTGTGTGTGTAGGAGGTATGATAGGATGTGGGAGGTGAATATAAAAAAAGAAAAAATTAGTAAAGATGATAGACTCATGATAATGACTTAGTGAACATATTGTTTTATAACCAGTTAAAATGATTTTTATTTAAACTATTATATTCCAAAGAGTTTTATTTTTTAACCTAACGTCTTATATATGCCCCTCAAATGTTCTTTTCTTGGTTGGGTGTCTCCTGCCTGGGCGTGAAAAGGCTGGAAGCATTGCTCTAACATAAGCCAGAAGCCACACTGCATTGTAATGGAAAGTGCATTGTGTTTCAAATTATCTGACTTAGTTTGGTACACAGAAAGGGAGAAAATTATCCACTTTCTTTCCTTTTTACCCATTCATCTTCTTCTTCTTTTTCCCTTGTCCTGAGCAAAAGATAGACGAACATCATGGAAACTGACAGTCCCTTCCCTTGACCTCTGATGTTTCCACTGAACCAACTGGTAAGAGGCCTTAGGAAAAAAGCTGGAGGACCAAGGGTGTGGGCTCTATCTGCTAGGCTACAAGCATCTTGTGCTTGCAGATGTTCTGCAGGGTATTCTCTCTTGCAGTCCTCTGGACTTCTTGCATATGCTGACATATCTTGTTGACTATATTTACCTTGCCCAGAATCTTATAAATATTCTGTTTATTGTCAAAAATCTCTCATGAACATACCCTTATTTCCTGACAGGACCTCAACGGATACAGTTGCCCAAATTCTCAACTATTTAATTAAGTCATATGAGTCATAACATTTTCCATCAGCACTAATATAGATAGTGATGAGTACTTTAATTAATGTATTTTCAAATACCTGCCATTGATATATGTGCTGCCAATCTGTGACAGAAATCATCATTATAGAGATTGTATGCCATGCAATGTGAAGTCATTCCATGATATAATTAACTAAATGTGAACAAGGCATTCCTTAGTAGTGTGGGCTTGGTGGAGGTGTTGGGAACTGGACCCAGGTGATGAAGACCTTAGAATACTTTATGCCAGATTTTTGTTTGTTTGTTTGTTTTGTTTTTAATTTTCAGTTGGCTTTCAAATCTTATTGTTAATTTTGGAACACAGGACTAGAATGTAGGTCACATCTGGAATAAAGCAATGTAGAAAGAATTGATTGTCATTTGCTGGGACATTTAATAACACTGAAATAGCCTTGGTGGGCAAAGAGAAGTAGAATAAGAAACTTGGAAAGATATTGAGAGGCTCAGATTTCAAAAATATTGTTCTTTAAGATTAATTATTCTGTGAGTGCACATGGATGACTCTATGTGGAAAAAGTCTATAAGAGAGGCCTCAGATTATATGATTGCTCAGATCTGAATTCTGGTCCCCAAGATTGATCAGTAATTGTTCTTGCCCACTGAGATATCTATCTAGCTCCTGAGGAATCTTGAATTAGTAGATATCTGTAGAGAGGTGTGCTATGCTCTTTCATTGAAATGACTGAAGTCCCTTAAAATATACATAGTGTTGACTTGAATGATGCTAGTGATTGAACAAGAAAAAGCTCACAGTGTAACAGTGGCTCACTGAAAACCCCCATGAACTTGTCTTCTGTTCCCTCCTAGTCATTCCTCACACTATTTGGGATCCCCTGGATTTACTATTAGATGATAGCATGGAAAATTGGTGAATACTATGCATTTGCAAGAAGTTCAGAAGACAGTTTAGGCTAGCAATCAGTATCAACTCAATGCATGTTTTGTCTTGTCAGTATCTTAGGATTATATCACTAATGGTACATCTGAGTCCTGCTTTGGTTTCTGTTGCTGTGATAAAAAACCTGTTCTTACCAAAAGTAAGAGGAAAGAGTTTAATCCGTCACCAAGGGAAGCAGGAGGCTTTAAGACAGGAAACTAGAGGCAGGAACTGAGGCAGAAGCATAGAAGAACATGGCCTGCTGGCTTGTTCTCCATGGCTACTTACCTAACTTTTCTAAACAACCCAAGACTACCTGCCCAGGGTGTGTACTGCCCACAGCAATCAAGAAAATGTTCCACAGACACACCACAGGCTAATGCAACTTGGGTGGTTCTTCAGTTAGGCTCCTTCTTCTCAGGTTACCTGAGGTTTGTGACAAGTTTAGAGCCAAAGGGAACTATGGGAATTTGAGACTCTAAATAGACCACAAGGTAACTCTGTCTGCCTGAAAATGGTTTTGTAGTTTGACACCGACTTGTTAATGTGTTCTTGAAGCATTTGATAGTGTAGAAACTTCTCTATACCCAAGACATGCTCTGGTTGTTTTCGAATAGGAAGGCAAATGACAGTGAAATGCTAAAGATAGCCTCTATGCAAATGCTTCATTTCTCCCCCTTCCAGGAAACTTTCATGGATCCCACTGCTTAGTGCATACTCCAAGGCCCCTAATGGGCTTTTCTGTTGGCTTCATGTTATCTCCGTTTTTTTAATTCCTAAAACTTTTTTCTACATAACTTAGCATAATAAAATTTAAATAAAAGGATAATGAATCATAAAAAGTTTCTGTGTTTGTTAAGATTATTAATTCTTGTGAAGTAAAGACAGAAAAACAATTCAATCAAACTACGTCTTGAAGGAATGAGACATTTTCTAGGAACATTCATTAAATTACATAGAACAACTTAAACAATAATTTCTACCTCTCTTTAAGTAACTGCAACCCATATCTGAGCATTTAACTTGATACTTCTTGTTTTGCTAATATTAAACCCAAATACTACTGTAGGAAGTGCTTCTTGAGTTTTTTCATTTTTGTGTATTTCCTACTGCTTGGATAACTGCTCATTAAAAATAATCCCATCTAAGACTAAAACAATGAAATTGAAATCCATATTTTCCACATTGCCATAAATTGCCCCAAACATCGTTATCAATACACTTTGTGCTGGCCCATCCTCTGTGCTTTTGTGGTGGTGGATGCAATGAACCTCCCTAGAGTATATATGAGTTAAGTAACTAAACTGATGTTATTTTTCCAAATTTAAATATTTAATTTTTCTTTTGTAATTAATGTCCTTTTTCCATAATGGTCGAATAAGAAAGGAAAGAAGCAATCCAGGAAAGAGTTGGTTTTATTTTGAATTAGAAGTTGGATTTGATGTAAATCTGTGACACTGTCAGTGTGCCTTCATTTTGTCCAATGGTTATTGCATGCTGCTGTATGGGCACCTGCCAGGAAGGAGTTTCTGGTTCTGGTTCAATAACTTTGAAGTGTCTGTTGTTCTCATTTTCAAGTCTCCAAAACTTTTATATGGATTCTTTAGGTACATTTTTTTCATTATTTCTCAGCCTTCTTTTTTTTTTCTGGATGGCTGCGATTTCCAGACATATAGCCCAAAATGTCCTAAGAGATTTTATATATACAAAAGCTAAGCAAATGGAAATTGAAAAGTGCACGCATACACAGGCACACACATACACACATACAAACTCACTGTAATTTCCACGATGATAGATGAATCTAATTTTCCTAATTAGCCTTACAAAATAGCAAATTTAGTGAGAAATTGTCAAGAATCCTGCTGTATTTAATTACTTCCAGACCTAATCTGGGTTCTGAGATTGGGCTGGCCTGTTAATAGCGTTGATGTCATGGGATATTCTCACCAGAGACTCCTAGCATTTCAAAATAAACTGGCTGAAACTAGCCAACAGTGATTGGAATAAAATTTACAATATTGCAGATGCATTTTATTGGAGGGTAACATTTTTATAACATTGTTTCTTAGTCAATTGTTAATATTTAAGTCTAAGGGATCATCTCAAAAATTAAAATAAAGGTTTTATTTAAAAAGGGGGAAAACAGGCCGGACAGTGATGGGTCACGCCTTTAATCCCAGTACTTGGGAGGCAGACACAGGCAGGTCTCTGTGAGTTTGAGGCAAATCTGATCTACAGAGCAAGTTCCAGGATAGGCGGGACTATATAGAGAAACCCTGTCTCAAAAGACCAAGAAAAAAAAAAAAAAAGGAAAGTCTAAGGGATGCTAAAGAGAGTACAGAGAATATCCTGTCACACTTAAAGGAGATGTGAAAGGAAGAAAAGTGTTAGAGGAAAATGATTTTATAGCTATTTTTTCTTTCACTTTATTCTTTTAAAGAGCATAATGGATGTAGCCATAATGAATGTACCCATATCATTATATACCAGATCTGCACATGTTCCTGCTGCTTTTATTGTAGGACATGGGACATCCTCATCTCTTGCTTCTAACTTTGCTGTTTATAATTTTTAAATAAATTTTTCTAATTGTATGTGTGTGGATGTTGTACCTGCATGTATGTCTGTCTGTTCACCATGTTCATACCTTGTACACATAGAGGCCAGAGAAGGGCGCTTGATCCCCTAAGACTAGAACTACAGACAGCTGTGAGGCGCCATGTGGGTGCTGAGTCTGGGTTCTCTGCAAGAGCTGCCGATGCTCATAACCACTGAGACATCTCTCCAGTCCCAGTATTTCTGTTTTAAGGCTGCTGTCCTGAGAACAGAAGACCCTCACTAGTGAACAGCATGCATACATATCACGATGCTGGCTGTGTCCCCATCTACCTGCAGATTCCCTCTCCATGTTTAGTTCTGACTGACAGACAGTGCTCTGATATCAGAACAAGACATACTGCTGAGGAAAATGCAGGTAGAAAACAGGAGTAATAAAAAAGGCAAGTTTACTGTATAATGGCAAATAATTAGAACTGTTCAAGATTTTAATTTTAGCAATAGTAAAGGCTATAATCAATGATATAATTCTAGGCAAAATCACATTTTGTGATGAAATGATTTATTAGGAAATCAATTTAAAAGAAAACCATAAATTTCTCCAAATTAAGCACTATTTTTATTTTGATCTTCTTAGTTACCAAAAGAACCATTCATTTTATTATGTGTATTTAATTATAAAAATTATTTATTCTTTTAGTAGTGTTCCTGGCTTCTGTTTTGTCAGTCAGTGTCAGACAGTGTCTGTAATTGTGCGTGGAGGCATCATTAAAATGAACTCTTAAGTTTGGTGATTTTAGTCATCTTGCCTGCCCAGTAAGAAGGAAAACCAGCTTAATTTTAACAGAATGGCTTCATGTCCCTACAGTGGACTTCTGGATCAGCGCTCCTTATTCATAGAATATGCCAGTGCCGAATGCTGCCTACTGTGTTGTATGCTGCAGCACACTGGGCACACTCTCTGGCTCTGCCACTGCAGTCCTTCAAGTATTTTCAACTTTAAATCTATAGGTATGTTCTTGAATTTTATAATCTCACCGTGTCCCTGGGCAAGGAACATAAACACTGAATGTTAATCTGACACAAAGATACCAGAAAACTAGAGGTTAAAGGGCAATACAGTGGAAACTTCCAGAAGAAAACGAATTTAACAAAGTAGGGTGTTTGGGGAGTGAAAAGACAGAAGGCAGTGGACTGTGGCATGTTTCGTCTCCCGGGAGGAGCTTGGTTGAGGAGTATGAGCACACTA